CTGCTCCCTTCCCAGTGCTTCCCAGTGAGGTTCTCGGTGCTGCAGGGAGCACCCGAAAGAGCCGAGACTCGCAGGCGAGGGCGAGGGAGAAACGCCGCTGGTAGGAGAGCGTTGTAGGTGACAGCCCTGCAGTGACACCCGGTCACAGCCCCGCGTCCTGCCCGTGCACCGAGTCTAACCGTCCCGAGCCACAGGCCGCAGCGCAGCTAAAACGCCCTCCATTCATCTCCCCGCGTCCCCCGGGAACGATCATTCAAGGGCCAGATATTAAACCACAGCCGCCTCTCCTGGGAGGCGAGGAGCGGGGGCTGCACTTTTTTTTGCTTTTTTGGGGGATATTTCTCTTCTAAAAAGGCTGAACGAGCAAAATGGCATTTGTCAAGCTGGAGTTAAGCTGTCAGGCCCGCGAGGCTCCCGCTGCAGGCTCCACTAATGCGTTTTCCTTCTGGGCTCCTGCKGGCACTAACAGCTCGCGCGCGGCGGCGGCGGCGCGGCCGTGGCGAGGAGCGGGGTGCCCCGCGGCGGGGAACGCTTCCCAGCACGTCCGGGAGCGTAAACAGCCCCTAAAAGCCATTATCCCGTTTCCTGGAGGCGAGGAGGGAAGCGGCCTCCCCGCTGCGCCCCGGCGTTGCCGCCGCGAGGCCCGCGCGCTCTTCGGCGCCCGGAGGCTGCGCCCGTGGCCCTCGCAAGCTCCAAGTCCCCTTGGGGAGCCCCTGCTCCCATCCTGGGAAGCCACCGGCCTCCGGGAGAGGCTCGGGTCTCCCCTCGGCTGTGGGAATGAGCCTGGGAATGGCGCTGGGCAGGCCGCGCATCCCGGCGTTCCCCGGGCATTGCTCCCTCAGGAGCTCCCTCTTTCCGGGGTGGCAGCACCCAACCCCGCTCCGGCCACGCTCCTATGGGATATCCAGGCTCAGCTCGGAGCCTCGCATCGGGATAAGGAGCGGGGAGAGCTGAGAGCACGAGGGGAGGGCGCCGAGGTGGCCCGAGCCCTGTGTTTCTGGGGGGGACGGTGGCACTCGGGTGCCCCGCGCGCCCTCCACTTGTCGCCCCGCGTGCCACCCTCAGGACCTCACCCTCAAGCTGTGCCTCATCCGGAGCATCTGCATGATCAGCAAGGCCGTCTGCAGCGGGGCCAAATGCGGCGAGTTCAGCTTCTCCCGCAAGGCGGAGCTCGTGGCGCAGATGGTGGTAAGAGCGCGGCGCGCGGGCGCTCCTCCTCCGAGGCCGAAGGCCTGAAGGGCCCGAACGCGGCGGTGCCGCTGCCGCCRCCARCCGAGYGCCCCGGGAAGGGGCTGGCAYGGGGTGGCACCGCCAGCTCCGGCCCTTGGCGGGCACCGCGCCCGGCCGGGGGGCACAGGGGGAGGTTGCTCCTCCTCCGAGGCCGAAGGCCTGAAGGGCCCGAACGCGGCSGTGCCGCTGCCGCCGCCAGCCRAGCRCCCCGGGAACGGGGGTGCCCGGGAAGGGGCTGGCACGGGGTGGCACCGCCAGCTCCGGCCCTTGGCGGGCACCGCGCTCGGCTGCGGGGCACAGGGGGAGGTTGCTCCTCCTCCGAGGCCGAAGGCCTGAAGGGCCCGAACACGGCGGTGCCGCTGCCGCCGCCAGCCAAGCACCCCGGGAACGGGGGTGCCCGGGAAGGGGCTGGCACGGGGTGGCACTGCCAGCTCCGGCCCTTGGCGGGCACCGCGCTCGGCTGCGGGGCACAGGGGGAGGTTGCTCCTCCTCCGAGGCCGAAGGCCTGAAGGGCCCGAACGCGGCGGTGCCGCTGCCGCCGCCAGCCGAGCACCCCGGGAACGGGGGTGCCCGGGAAGGGGCTGGCACGGGGTGGCACCGCCAGCTCTGGCCCTTGGCGGGCACCGCGCCCGGCCGGGGGGCACAGGGGGAGCTTGGGCGGCCAGACGCCGGTGTCGGGGCCGGGGTTGTGCCCTGGCTGCCYGTCCTGCGCTCCAGGAGTTCATCAAAGCGGAGCCGCTCGATTCCATGCGCACGCCGGTGCGGCAGCGCGCCATGGTGGCCTGCACCTACCTGGTGTATCCTTGGTGGGTGCAGGGGAGCCCGCGGCGCAGCCGGGCACCGCGGTGGAGCCCGCAGCACGCTGGGGGCTCCTGCGCAGCTCCCTTTAGCTGCAGAGCTGCAGCTCAAAGCGCTGCAGCACGGTGCAACTCCGCACGCGGGTCCCGAGGGTGTTATGCCCGCACCGGTGCCACCGAGCATGCGGTCCCGTTGGCACCGTCCCGCACCCCGGCGCGCTCGCCGTGTCCCTCCTGCTTCCTTAACCCGCCGCCCAGCGCCCTGGAGCCGCGGCTCAGCGACCCCGACCGCACGGAGCTCCTCAACGCGTGCCTCGCCGGCGTGCTCGCGCTGCCGCCGCCGGAGCCGCCGCGCGAGCGGGACGGGGCCCTCGCCGACGGCTGCCACAAGGAGGTGGGTCGGGAAGGGCGGGCACCGCGGCGCGCGGGCGCTGGCACCGCGCGTGCCGCACGCCGGGGACGCAACACGGTCCGTCCCGCGCTGCAGGAGGCTGCGGCGGGCGCCGCTTGCGGGGCAGCACGTGGGCACCTTCCCACGGCCCCGCGGCTGCAAGGGGCTCTTTGCCATTCAGGCGGGCACCTCGGGGCCGCCGGCTGCCGCCGCTGCCGCCGCTCCCTTATCTCTCGCGGGGAGCCTGGCCCTTCTGCGCGCTGATAGCAAGGGGGCAAAGCCGCGCTTATCAGCGAGCCCAAATGCTGCTAATTAAGAGCGTGAAGTCCCCGGGGGGCAAAATCGAAATGATCCTGGAAGGCCCTGCGGGGTGCCAGGGGCTTTTGCATAAGCGCCCTTTGAAAGGCTGCAGCTGCTTCCCGGCCGTGCCCGGGCGCTTAATGAGTGGAAACAACGCGCTGCTAATGAAGTCGTTGCAGCTGCTGGGTGGCCGCGGCGGCG